GCGCTCTTCCTCTGCCTCGATGCCGCCTTCCCTTGTAACCAAACGGATTCTGAAAATAAGCTTTCCATTAAGACTTTGAAAAAAATGGAGAGCGAAGTGAGAACACACCATAAAATCCCCGTAAGTAGAGAATGTAACTATTGGTCTTTTTGTTGGCTCGCGGTCCATACAAAACACAACAAGACTATCAAAACATTTTTTGGTAAAGTTTAAAAATAGTCCTTTGTTTTTGTTTGACACAAGAACGCACTTAGAAAGCCGTGATATTGCTTAACACAATGGTAAGATTGTTCATAACAAGCAAAAAATTATGGAAGTGCTAGTAGCATCGCTTCGCAAGGCTGGGCAACTTAGAAACAAAAGTATTTTTGTGATTCAAATTAATTTTCCATTTAATTACTGTACATTCTTTGGTCTTCATATGGAAAGTGGAAGTAATTTTGATTAAAGTTTCGCATCCACGTTCACATCAAGTCCTAATGCCACACAAAAGGATGATTCCAACAATCATAGACATTTACCGGCTTGTCATATATCAATAAATCAAAATTTTCATAGGATTTTCTTTGATAGTTTTGACTGTAAAGGTTAATCCTAAGCGGCATAAAATAGCTTTGAAATATTCACTCCCTCAGTTAATACACATCAATGACTGGGATATGCTGAATATTCTTACCATTTTTTTTTTCTGAGGACTTTCATTATGAAAAAAATTCCTGTATAGAATGAACATGTACCTCATATTCTGCCAAAACAGAACAGAAACATTTCATAAAATTTTATACAACTATCATATCAAGAACTTTTTTTTTTTTTGGCCTATTATAGAGTACAGAATTGCACTTTGTCTTATGTTTCGTTGCATCCTCGCTCTCCCATAGGGGAGAGCCAGGAAAGGATAAGTCGAAAGTCGAGGGGGCTGATGATCACTTTTTTTTTTTTTTTTTTTTCCTTAATCTACACAGTATTTTTATTTCGAAATTTAAAAATCAGGCTTCGACTTGCCTAGCGCCCTCTAATGGGAAAGCAACATAGCAAGTTAACGAACGCTGGATGGTACAGAAGCTTTTGCAAACCTCTGACTTCGAGAAAACTGGATCAAGTAACTTGTGTTTTCGGGCGGTAAAATTTGAAGCCAAAAGTGGTCCCCCTACGTTGACTACATATTTGTTCGTTACATTGCAACTCTCACCTAACATTCATACACATTGAAAAGGGATCATTTAGGTCGTGAAACACACATTATATTATGTGCGGAGTGTTAGGTTAGACAAAGTAAACTGTATATTTATATTTGCTTAATCCACTTTTAATCTTTCATGACATATAGAGGAATCTTGCCAAAATATTATTTTTCTATTTTTAATTTTTTTCATACCTCAGGCAGACCCTCCCCTTCAGTAGTGTAAACACAAAATGGCCTTTTTAGAAACTTAGAGACACCAAATCATCCTGCCTATCCCCACACATGATCATAAAATGCAAGATTTCTTATCTCTCTGCTCTAAGCGTACTATACAATTAACTTTCTACTGCACAAGTGGTCCTACCCAAGAGGCTACCATCGGATCCAAAAATGAAACAGTTGATGTTCGATACAGTTCTTTTGAGATCAGAGGTGTAAACAAGGAACAGAAAATACCGTTGGAGATTTGGACACTTGCCAAAGTTAGTTTTCACTATTACATTTTCAGGAAATCTAATGATCCTCTCTATATTATGCACATTGTATGTGGCTGTACTTTGTGATATTATGGCAATGGGTTTGCATCCACAATTTGACTGGTGTCAATCATTCTCTTTAAGGAAGTGTTTTGGTATGGATGTGAGTGCCCGCACAGGTATGGCTGGGTGCTGGAGATCGACGGGGAGAGCTGGGGCTGCTGCCCAGACAGCTGAGGCCCGGGTAGGCATGGAGGCTGCTTGCTGTGATCTTGCTCTGCTGGCATGGATTCGATGAGTGCCTGACCTCTTACACACGTCACAGTCTACGCTAACACTGTCGCGCACGTTAGAAATAGAGGTTCAAACAGCTGCTTAAGAGCTTGCCTAGTTGGAAGAAAGGAAGTGGGAGTCATTAGCGACATGCACCGCTGGTCGCCTCCGTCCACGCCAAACGACGAAGATCGGCTTGGCCAGAGGTCTTCTACCGGGTATCCCGGTCCAGCGTGGTCGGCGACCCCGCTTGTTCGTGCGCTCCTCGCCGGTCCCCGCCTCTCCTCCGCCGCGACCGCAGACCATCCTCGACGTAATATCCCCTCTCTGTACGGCTAAATGGTTCGCTTAGCTTAGACAAAGTCCAATCTCTGAATAATGCCCATACACTGACCGGCGAACAAAGATGTTTACCATCTGATGGTTCGTAGGTGGCAACTCCGTAGCTCTCGTGAGCTGATCTATCGCTCCTGTGGTGGGAGAGAGCTGGAGAGCATGTTTGACGCCTGCGGCCGAGAGTCGTCTCTCTCGGTACCTTTATTTTTTTTTTTTGTTTTAATATAAGTTTACCTACCTCTTTTATTTACGAGGTGTCACACGGCGTCGCTCCGGCTCGACCGTTCCGCCCATTCATTACCGCTCTTTAACTATAATGATATCAGCTGAATTATTTATGGACCGCCCGTATATTATTCCCATTGTTGAACTCGTGGCAAACTGTGGCTGCTGAACCGCAAGCCTATATAGGCTTCAGCATACTCTTGAACCCGTCGACCTGTGGTGCACAAGAACTTTGGTGGTTTGCGCACCTCATTCTCTGTACGTAGATTGTGCGCTTGTTTCATATAGTGTTAGGTCCGATCAAGATCAACTAGGCTTAGGGAGCGTGTGAGACTCATCCATAAACAGACGACGGCACTCCCAAGGCTAACTATGAGGGCGTCGCAGAAAATTCCATATGCCCATTCAACCCTAACACAGAACAGAATGTATAATCAAAAGTATTGTCTTGGGAGAGCTCGGTTGACTGACTATGTGTGTTAAGTAGTAGTATTGATCAGCAATCGGTGACGCTCGAGGATCCTGATTATTGGGAGGCATTGGAGAGTAGGAGCCTGCGGTGCCAATGTTGAGCGATGGCCTTGTGTTATAGCTTTCGCGTTGCTGCCGCATCCCAAATCAGGGTTTGTCTGTGCATTAAGTCCTAGTTTTGGGTAGTTGAGGGCAGACTGCGAGGAGGTAGGATTGCTCGAGGATTGGGCGGAGCCGCTGGACCTGGAACCAACCTGAGGGAAAGTACTGGGCTGGTCGCTCGGCAAGGTGTTGGGGCGGGGTCGAGCATAAGGTACGCGCACGCAGTTGTAATGGGAGCTACAGTGACGTACAGAACGTATTAAGCGTGGTGCTACGTGCCAAGAAGGTCTAGTATTTATTTTTGTTGGTCACATCTCCGCGCAATGGTCACCAATGTATGTGCAAGGTGGTGAATTATGCATCTACCATTGTCTGGATGGGGAGAGCCGGTGTTGGCGGGAGCTTACACACCCTGGGAAGGTTGTCTGGATATGGGTAAGGGAGTGTATGTGGCGCCTGGAGTTTGTCTATGTGCGTTGGTGGTGGGCTCTTGCTCTGCGTTGGTGGAGGTAAATCATGTGGAGTTGTGCGTAGTATGCGCTGCAATGAGCACCGCGATAGCAGGCTCTTTATGGGAAGTGGAGTCAGTGATTAATAGAATGGTGAGCAGGGTGAGATATGTGAATGGGGGTCCTATGGTGGAGAAAGGAAGGTAAGTGTCTGGGATGATGTATTGGTGAACTAATAGGGTGTTGCGGTGAAGGGGCTGTTGTGTGGAAGCTGTATGCGGAGTTGGTAACTCGTGTTTGAGGATTTTGGTTTGAGGAGGGAGCACTGCGGTCGTTCCGCCAAGGTGAGCTGAGATGCGGGAGCTTTGTGGACTGGTTTGTCTCCATTCGCAAGGTCGAGAGGATATTGTCTTGGCATTTAGTTCATTGAATGGAGGGTCGGCTTAGTGAGTTGCGGTTGTTGAGGACGCAGGCTGTGGTGTACCATGGTACCCAATGTGGCTCAATGTTGGATGAGTAGGTGTTCAGAATGGAGGTTGATTGGGGATTGGTGATTGGTCTGTGTAAGTGGGATGCTGTTCTGTTTTTGTCTGTGTTTTGTATTATAGGATGGGTAGTTGGTATGCCGTGGCGGGTATGGTTTGGAGGATGGTGTTTGTATATTTGGATGTGTTGGGTTGGTTGATGTGTGTGGGTAAAATGTTTGGGTGCGGGGGGGTTTGGTTTGGGTGCGTGTGGGTATTGTTGGATGCCGTGCGGGTATGGTTGGAATGTGTTTGGGGTCAATATTTGGATGTGTTTGGTGTTTGGTTTTTGGATGCGTGCGGGTATGGTTGGATGTGTTTGGGTATATTGTGGATGTTGTTTGGGTTTGGTTGGATGCGTGGCGGGTTATGGTTGATGTGTTTGGCGTATATTGGAGTGTTATGGGATTTGGGTTGGAAGATGTCTGTGCGGAAATGGTTGGGGGTGTGCGTGGTGGGTTGGGTTGGGTTGGCTGTGTGGGTATGGTTGGTTTTGCCGTGCGGTCGTAATGGTTGTGATGTTTTGGGTATTATTTTGGATTTGTGTTTGGGTTTGGTTGTGCGTGCGGGTATGGTTGGAGTGATGTGTTGGGTATATTTTGGATGTGTTTTTTGGTTTGGTTGGATCCGTGACGGGTGTATGGGTTGGATAATCTGTAGTATTATATGCAGTCGCATTGTCTTGATATAATCGGTCTAATGAATGTGTTTTTTATAGTGCGCTATTTAGAGATTATGTATGTGTAACAGTGCCAGGGAATACTAACATTGATGTGTATTTTTTTTTCGCTATGTTTGTCGTGAAAAGTTCGTCTTGGATTGGGTGTGCGCCGAGTGTGGGTAGGTTGATGCGTGCGTGAGAGTGGTAAATCGGTGTTGAATGTGTTTTTTGTCGGGTACTAATTATGGAATGTGTTTTGGAGGGAAGTTTGAGGGATTATGGAGATGTTATTCTTGT